TCCCTTTACTGGCACTTTGGAACAGTCTTGAGAAATGAATGAAACAACAACAGCGAATCTCAGGTTCTAGCTGTCCTTGCCAATTTGTTCGAGTTTTGGTCAAGGACAATAGTTTCAGATGTGTTTTCTTGCAATGGAGTGAAGCCCTGATTTTGAAATCTCCTGTGGAAACTCAGTATGATGAATTAATTGTCAATAGACCCCAGGTCTGTAGGATGAAAGCTGGAGGTTTTTCTTTCTCTGCTTCCTAGAAAAGACTGTCTTCAAATCAGACGCAGCAGCTTGGAACATTATCACCTCTTCTATAAATGGAATACATTAATGAGCTTCATGGAGTTAATGAAGGAGCATTGATTTATTTCTTTAAAGGTCTCTGGTATTGCTCTTGGTTATTGAAACGGTGTAAGAAAGCAAGAAAGAAGGTTGGAGAGATGGCTTGTGTTTAAAATCCTATACTGCCCTTGCAGAGAACCTGAGTTTGTTTCTCAGTACCTATGTTGGACAGCTTACAACTTCCTGAAACTCCAGTTCCAGAGCATCAGATACCTTTGTATTTATGTGCACACACCCACCCGCAATGGACACATAATTAAAAACAGTAAAAATGAATATTAAAATAAAAGAAGTGAGAAGGAAGCATTTTAGTGATTAAAAGCAGACAAAGACTTTCCTTGAAGAATATCGTATACTTGTGAAAATAAACAGTAAGTCCTGATTTCCCCATGGAAAGGAAAGCAATGTAGAAATTTATTTGAGCATTAGCAATATAACCGTCTCTAAATAGTTTTTTTGTGTGTGCGTGCTGTGTAATGATTTTCAATATTTAAAAACAAGGTTTCTTTTGCTTTTTAAAGATTTATTTTTATTTGTTGTATGTGCCTTTGTACGTGGATGTCAGCATGTGAGCTTGTGCCCACAGAGGCCAGGAGAGAGTGTTAAATCCCCTGGAGTTACAGGCAGCTGTGAGCTACACAGCATTTGGGGAATCCAGCTTGGGTCTTCTTCAGGTCATCTCTCCAGTTCTATTCTGGTTTTGAGAGAGGATCTCACTGTGTAGATGGTACAAGCTGGCTTTGCACCTGGAATCCTCCTTCTTTGGTGCTGGGCTTAGAGGCCTGTAGCCTCAAATTCAGATATGCATTTTGGTGAATGAGTTTATTGGAATTTTCCAAATTTGTTCTCAGAGAGCTAAAATTCTGTTTTATTAGAATCAATGCTTAAATTATTTACCTAAAGAGAACGAGGAGAAGTTTGTAGGACCAGAAACTGGTATTTAGAACATTTCTTTTTTCTTTTTTTTTTTTAATGAAAAAGAGCTTTATGCATAGTTTGGCCTGAAAATGTATATACTGCTCAGACATTAAAACATTATTTCCTTCTCCGTCTTTTTCTGGCACCACTGCTTGAAGATATCATGTGTAAGGAAATGGGAGTATTTATGCACTCACCGCAGGGTACCCAAAGGTTCAATGGAGAGTAAGCTGAAGGCTTAACAAACCTGGTGAAATGTAACACAATTTTACATGTCTCAGAGGCGACACAATGCTTTACAATGCCATAAGGACAAAAAAAAAAGCAAAACAAAATGGGAAAAAAAAACTAAGGAAATGAACAAACAAAAATATTTTTGTGCAGAGAGCTAAAAGGAAGGAAATATGCACAGCTCTCTACAGATTTTTTTTTTCCATCTGGAACCCACGAGCCTGCTGTGACTTATTTGACATTAGTCTCCTCAGAAATGACTCGGGCGTCACCCTGAAAAACAATATTGTCAATTGTGTCACAGAAAAGGATCTATTAGCTCCATTTGTAGGCAGGCACCAGACGCCTTTAGGAAAGAGAAACAGGACCCGAAGTTTTATGAGAAGATTTGATGTTTTGATTAATTACTGTTTATATTTGAAGGGCTGTGGGAACAGATGACTGGGGGAATCTCCCCCTTCTCTTACCCTGTCTCCTCTCTTCCTCTTTATTTTTCTGAGATAGACTCTCATGTAGCCCAGGCTGGCTTCTAATCTGAGGATGGCCCCGAGCTTCTGATTATCTTGTCTCCAGGGTTGGGATTACAGGCCTGTGCCACCATGTCCCAGTTGCTGGGGATGCAACTCTGAGCTTCAGCATGCAAGGCAAGCAGGGTACCAGCTGAGCTACAGCCCAGCTCTGCAGTCCCGCCTTCTCATGGGACGGAACTGCTGTCAGCCACAGAGAAGGTGGCAGCTGGGGATGAAGAGCCTTGCTCTGACCGGGGTTATGCTGTGGTGGTAGAAGAAGCAAGACACTTAGTTACACTTAGTAGAAGAAGCGTGCACTTAGTTACACACGGCTACAACGGGGCGTGGGTGTCGTGGCCTCAACTTGCTCGATGATGACATCAGGAAGTTGGCCTCTAGCCCGGGAGGAATTCTGAGCCGAGCCAAACATTGTGAAACGCTCAGAGGCTGCTCACTGCTGCTATCTTCAAGGAGAACCAGAGGGAAGCCTGCTGGGCACTCGGCCTGGTTCCCGGAGCTGCCTGCAGAGTCAGGCCATTTGCTTTATTGTTTCTTCGATAACCTTTTGAAAATTCAGTGGAAAAAAAAGAAGAAGAGCAATTTTTCAATCAGAAGCGGCTCTCCAGCTGGCTGTTTCTCTTTTCCCTGTGGCTCCCACTGTAAATCTGCAGATGGTTATTTTCATACCACCTGGGTCTTTCTTACACACAGGCTTCTGGCTGTGGGATCTCGGGGGCGGGGAGGGGGTCAGAGAACATCACCGGTGAGGCCATTTTCGGTGAGCCACCCTGGAGCACCCTGACTCTAGCAACACTGGCCTCTGAAGAGGGGATGCCTGCCTCGACTGTGCCCCAACATCTCTGCCGTCGTCGTGCAGCCTCTCCACGTCCCTTGTCCCTTGCAGTTTCTCCCTTTGTGTGTGCGCACGCGCAGGCTCTCTCCCCTCTCAGCCTACCTCGGTGGGATACTCTGCACTGCTCCCCGAGTTGGGCTGGGTGATCTGAACGGGCTTACTCTGTGTGGTTGCTGGTGAAAGCAAGATGTAACCTGTGCGACATAAATCACCCGGTGAACCGCAAGCCTTCTGGCGGGATAGTTATTTTTGTGAAACGGAGTTCACTACACGTAAGGCAGGCTCTTCTTATGGGGCCAGATTTGTCTTCCGCTCTTCTGGACGTAGTTTTGTTTCTCGTCCTCCGCTGTGGGCTGTGGTGTATGTACTTTTTGGACCCTCCCCCCTTCTCTGTCACTCCTTTTTACTCATCACCATTTACCTAGTCTCTCACTTCCTTAGTACCATCTTATGAACAGATATATTTTATTTGTAAAACACATCAAAGCTAAGATGTTAACGGGCAGCAGATCTGAGGGTAATATATCAGGGAAGTTCACATATCAGCTAGAGACTCCAATGTGGAGTGTAATAGGCACCTCCAAAGGTCACTGGGTAGGGAGATTTTCCCAGCCTTGGACAGATAGTGTCTACTTATGTCACTGACCTAGTGGGTAATCCTTAGCATAGTGTCTTGAGGGCACTTAATAAAATATTTACACGGGGCATGAAGGTTCTGTTCAAAGAAGGAAATGTGAGTAGCAGTATCCTTTAGGAAGCACTATGGAAAGAAATAGTATATTTAGGAAAGTGTGTTTGCCAGGCAAGATATGGTCACTAGTGCAATAGTGGTATGACTCTTAAAGTTTCCTGACTGGATTTGAGGCTTGCTGTACGGGAAGAATTCCCTGCCCATTACTGTAAACCTGGCTAAAAGTCCATGCCTGGGGAGGTCATAGACTCTGCCAGGGAATATCAAACTGCCTTCTAAATATCTTTATTCATAGACAGAGATTTGTATACTCCCAACATTGGTCAGAGAAGTTTCTTTCTGCCGTAGTTATAGTGTAGAGACTCCAACTGCTCACGAGCTGAGAGTACGCGAGTATGAGCGTCAGCTCTAGATTGGACGTTGATATCACTCTCCATAACCCAAAGCCCAGAGGTTCTAGAAAGAATATAAGAACCATGAAATGCTGTCCTCTGGTTACCACAGAGCCATCACACTTATAAACTCACAGCAGCTGTGGGTACCTACACACAGCTGTCACAAGGTCAAGGCAATCAACATTCCAGCAGGGATAGAGGAAGGTCATAAAGCCCCACCCCTAGCCGAGAAGCTAATTGGAGAGTCATTTTCCTTCACAGTGTGGTCAATGGTAGGTTGTTGATATAGTAGCAGAAGGCCTTGTCTCCACAACTCCATGTCCATACAGGAAACACTCATTGGTCTCAGTTATGTAAAACAAGCAAGAAAACAAACCAAACTCCCCAAGACATGAAGGGGTGTGTGTGTGTGTGTGTGTGTGTGTGTGTGTGTGTGTGTGTGTGTGTGTGTAGGTTGCCGGTGTTCCAGTGGATAGCCTACATCCATGCATTTTTTGGGCAACAACAATTGGATGCAGTGAGTTACAGAGGTTGGAGAAGGATGTGGAAGGGTGATTTAGGGATATATATGATCAATACACATTGTGACCATGTATGAATTGTTAAAGAATAAATGAGAATATTGTAAAGAAGAGGGAGACAGAGAGAAGGAGAGGGGGAGAGACAGACAGACAGACAGACAGACAGACACACACACACACACACACACACACACACACAGAGAGAGAGAGAGAGAATCAGCAACAGAGGGGTATTCCCCAGAACTCTGGAGTATCTTCTGCTAACATTTGCCTGCACCTGGCTGTGGCAGAATAGAACATGTAAGTTATACAAATTGAGGCGTCATTGAACTGGGAGCGATTTACATGCCTAGGGAGGAGGTAATTTTTATCATTTCAAGCCCCAGGCACTGGGACTTTGCTGCTGGTTGGGCTTTTTGCATGAATCCAGGGTGAGAGTCTCCATGTCTCTGGTCCCTTCGGTGGCTTGCCTGTAGGTTCCTTCCATCTCGCCGTGTGCCTGTGTCTCAGTTCTCTGGAGCCTGTCTGGACAGATCTCCCCTCCACAAGATGCTCTCCACACCCACAGTGATCTTCATGACCGCCTTTTTCCTGGTGTCCTTGGCGTCTATGTCGCAGAATGGCCTCCTGATCGTCGTGCTGGGCAGAGAGTGGATGGGCAACCGGGCACTGTCAGCAGTGGACATGATTGTGGCCTCTCTTGCTTCCTCCCGGTTCTGCCTTCATGGGATAGCCATCCTGACCAATCTCTTGGCCTTCTTTGGTTTCTGTCACCAAGCAAACATTGTTGGCATCCTCTGGGACTTCACCAACACTTTCATTTTGTGGCTTACGGCCTGGCTTGCCATCTTTTACTGTGTCAAGGTCTCCTCCTTCTCCCACCCTGCACTGTTTTGGCTCAAGTGGAGGATTTCCTGGTTAGTCCCCAGGCTGCTGCTGAGCTCTGTCATCATGGGTGGCCTCTCAGCCATCGTATCAACCACTGGGAACATCTTTGCTATCCGGATGACCGTCTCCCAGGGCTCCCTTGGAAACTGTACTTTTGGTCACATGACACTAGACTTCCTTCGGTACTATCATTTGTCTCATGTCTTGCTCATGTGGCTCAGTCCTTTCCTACTGTTCCTAGTGTCCATTATCTCGCTCATGTTCTCACTATACCGGCACATGGGGAAGATGAGGGGCCCCAGGCCCGGGTCTCACGATTTCCGTATTAAAGCTCATGCTATGGCTCTGAAAACCCTTGCCGCCTTCTTCATTTTCTATGTATTATTTTTCCTGTCCCTGATAATTTTTGCTACAAAAGGCAAAACCATGCAAAGTCATTGGTATTGGGCCAGAGAAGTCATCATCTACACGGGCATCTCTTTGAACTCCGTCATCCTCGTGTTTAGCAACCCCAGGCTGAGAAAGACCTTGAAGGTGAGATTTTAGGACACACATGCTGCCCAACCATAAGCTTTGAGGGCCTTGAATCAGAGATGTCTTTTCTCTCAAGTGATGAGAGTCGGTACTGTGACAAATGAACTCGTGTGTAGCAAGAGTTCAAAAGGTTTGCACACGCTCTTGTTTCCTTCTTTCCTCTCTCTTCCCAGTCTCTGCCCCCTGATCATTGGTACCCTGACTAAAGCTGGTCTCCCCCAAAGGCCCCTAGGAGACAGAGGGCGGTAGGTAGGAGTCTGCGCTACTGTAGATCCACCTCGTGTTCAGTGAGACTGCACTGTTTGACGTGAAGAGATGTTCAGGTTTTGGCTAAATGGAGACGATGGAAAACAAAGGCAGTTCTGAAAGTTTGTTTTGTTTTGTGTTTGTGCTGGGCATCCAGCCCATGCTAGATGAGGACTTGAAGATGGAACTGTGTTCTCACACCTTGGTGTCTTTGAGAGCAGCTCTCATGTCGCTCAGGCTGCTCACAATCCTTCTGCCTCAGCCTTCCAAATGCTTAATTATAGTCAAGGACCAAGCTACCCGGCAATTGTTAATTTTGCTAATCTTTTCTCTGCTTGCCCTGCCCTAGGGATACTTATTGGACACTGTTGCTGAGGTCAGCATTCTCCAGTCTGGAATATGGGAAAAATGGCATACTGGGAGGGGAAATAAAAATGTGACCATTTCAGTTTTCATTAGCTTATGTGTTAAGTTCCTATCTCTTTGTGCGTGTTTTATGATGCATATAACACAACGGTGAAGTAGACATGATGATAATTAATAAATGTGCACATAGTTGTGTCTTGGTTCCTTTAGGCTCTGTATCAAAATATCATAGCCTGAGTGAGTATTTTTTCTTTATGATAAATTCTTTATTCAAATTTGAAACTAGCTTGTTTTACATGTCAATCCCAGTTCCCTCCCCTGTCCCCCCTACCAACCACCATCCCATCCCCTCAACCAGGGAGGATGAGGCCTTCCATGGGGGGGTCTTCAAAGTCTGACACATCATTTGGAGCAGGGTCCAGGGCCTCCCCCACGTGTCTAGGCTGAGAGAGCATCCTTCTATGTGGAATGGGCTCCTGAGTGATTATTTCTTACCATGCTGGAGTCTGAAATGTGGAGTGCCAGCATGGTTGGGGTCTGGCGACACCCTTTTTCCTGGCTGCAAGCATCTATCTGTATACTAATGTGGCAGAGAGGACTCTGGGATCCTTCTATAGTCCAACTTTTCAGCCAGAGACACCATCATGGCCTCAGATGAATTCCTGATGAAATTCAAGCATCCTTAATGCACGTGCATTTCTTTTAAAATTATTATCGTGTGTGTGTGTGTGTGTGTGTGTGTGTGTGTGTCCACAAAGGCCAGGAGGCTACAGTTATGGGCTGCGTGAGCCCTGCTGACATGTAAATCTCAGCGTCCCTAACAGAGCAAAAAAGCAGTGAACACTCCTCAACCATGAAATTGTCTTTCCCGGTTACACGATTGTGTTTCTACTGCCTTACTCTTCTGGCATACTATATGGCATTTTATTCATCTCCACAGTGCAGATGAACTACTTTTCAACATTTATTTGTGTTGTGCAGTGTGTTGGGGTTGGGGATGGGGGCACATGACAAGGTAGGCTGTGGAAGCCAGAGGACAGCTTTCAGAAATAAGCTTTTCTCCTTCCACCATGTGGGTCTTGGGGATCAAACTCAGGTTCTTAGGCTTGGCAGCAAGAGCCTTTACCTGCTAAATCATACAACCAGCCCTGCTGAACCCCTCTAAGAGCTTGGGGATGACTAGGGAGATACATAGCATTTAAAAGACAGCATTCAGGCCACTGTTTCCTCTTTTAATTTTTCCAATGCAGAGCACTGAATTGGGAATTTCTATCCAGAACACCAGTCTAGTCTCCTACAAACCCATTTTTATATTTCACTTATACAGACTGTGAACTAATAGTGGGGCACACGCCTTTAATCCAAACACTTGGGAGGCAGAGGAAGACAGATTTCTCTGTGAGTTTGAGGCCAACCTTGTCTAAAGAGTGAGTTCTAGGACAGCCAGGACTACACAGAGAAACTCTTGTCTTGAAAAAAAAGAAGTAAAAAGAATATGAAAAACTCGAAATTATCAGACTTTGTGTCTACCTAAAAGCTAAATTTAAATAAGAGAAAGCAAAATGTCATAAATACAAGAATGATGAAAATCACCACAGAATATGATACTGCAGAGATGACTTAGTGGTTAATGGCACATATTGCTCTTGCAGAAGTCTTAGGTTCAGTTCCTAGCATCTGTATGGTAGTTCACAACCATCTGTAACTCCAGTTCTAAGGCATCTGATAGGCTCGTCTGACTTTCATGGATACCAGGAAGGTACACCACACACACACACACACACACACACACACACACACACACACACGCACACACACACGTAAATGAAACACTCCTACACACAAAATACAATAAGTAAATATTATAACCACACCATATATTTAAATATATTAAGTATTTAAATATAAGAGTCTACTCACCTTTTTGAAAGAATTTAATTTGCACATGACATATGCACGGTAAATGCTTGTGGTTTATGATTTGTGCATAGAAGCACTTCGATGGCAACCAATTCCCTGTTGGAGCCCAGTGCTTTTCATACCCTTGTTATGGAACAGGAGATGCTAACAAATAACTGTTAAATCAGTTGAGGTTAATTACACATCCTTAATCTGATGAGCCGTTGACGGTGTAGGAGGTAGAAGGAAGAGATAGGAGTTTTCCAAACTTCAAGGTTTGTGGCTGCACAAACTCCAGAGTTGAAAGACCCCAGTTTGCCTCATTTCTCCGGACTCTGGTAGGACACAGCCGAAAGTCAGCCAGAGAGACCAGGACACAAAGAAGGGAGTTTGGAGCACCATGCCCTGGGCATTTTCACAAGGAGGCAGAATCACTGTGTCAATTTTGCGTGTCGTTCTTCCTTCACTCTTGAGATAAGGTCTCTTACCGAACCAAGAGCCCACTTCCCCTCACCCCCACCCCCAGGCTACTGTTCAGTCCCAGAATTCCTTGTGTCTCCCATACTCAGTAGGTGGATTACAGGTTCTGTCATTCGTGGAGCTTTCCATGGTTGCTGGGGAGAAAATTCAGGTCCTCATACTTGTACAGTAAGCAGTTACTGAGCCATTCCCCCAGTCCTGGTAATATATATATATATTTTAAATTTAACTTTTTAATTTGGATGTGTATATGTGTTTCTGCGCTCTCAATGAAGTGTCCGTGTGCAGGCCAGAGAACAACTTTGAGGAGTTTGGTTTTCTCCCTCCGGGTTTCCTGGCGGAACTTAGGTCTTCAGGCTTGTTGGCAAGTACCTTGATGTGCTACACCATGTGGCCAACCCTAAAGCTATAATCGGCAAAGAAAACAGGGATCTAGACAGAATCCACACTCGGTAAGGTGGAAGAGGATGGAGGTGTAGGTCATGTAGCTAACTCCGGTGAAACGGGGCTGGTCCTGGAATCAGTGTAGCGCTTAGTCTTCTACCACGAGCTGAATATGATGTGAATATGAGTCTTCATCTGCATGAACTTGAGGCTTCATTTCTTTTATCCGTGAACTCAACCTCGATGTCTTCATGCGGCCACATCCAGTCTCCGTGGAAAGTCTGCGTACTAGAACGAGCACTTTCCGCAATGTAGAGATGGACACGGGGAAACAGAGGGCTCACTGGCAATGTCCAGACCATCACAGTGAGGAGCGGGGCTCGGGTCGCACCTGCCTCTGAGAAGGCCTCTCACTGCCCGTCCACTGGTGTACAGCTCTCGTAGCGAGACTGCCATTGTGAAGGTCACTGCTAACAGAATATTGTCTAAGTTTTTAGGAGACACTCCCTGCTTCAATCTGTGTAACCACCTCTCTTACTCTATCCTGGGATGCTGAGTCCTCAACTGATTGGAGCTAAGCTCTCTCAAGAGAGAGGTTTGGATCGGTTTCTGGCTCTGTGTCAAAGGGATATTCTTACTGTACCTCTTTCTAGGGTTGCTGCAAGAATTAAATATTGGGGGGGGGTGTATCTAGAACAACGTCTAGAGCCTAACAATCACCTCTCACCCCCCATGACCGACATGATCTCTGCTATTCGGTAGCACGCATGCCCTGTGGATTTGATTACCAAGTAGTCCCAGGTGTGCGATCTTAGGTATCAGCTTAGAGAAGCGCAGCTGCCTATGTAAGAGACACCATATGCAAGGGCCTGATGCATTATTCACACTGATGTTGACAGTGGGTAGGGGATAGCAAGAGATCAGGCAAATTCACGGGCAGGCAGGGAGACTTTGGAAACCTAGCCTAGGCAATATTTGCATCTGTTCTGAAGAGAAGAAACAATTGTATCCTCCTCAGAGAGCCTGCACCTCTAGCTTCACTTCACTTAGGGCATGTGGAGCGACAAACATATTGGAGAGACTTCTTAGAGCAGCAAGTAGCTCTTCATGGGACCCATCATGTCCACTGGAGAAATGGGCACAGGTCACACAGCTCTGGGCTGTCAGACTGTTGATAAGACCGTCATCGCTTTATTTATCATTTTAGTCCTGTTGTGCCTGGTGGCAGTGGTAGGCAATGGATCTATCGTTGTGGTACTAGGCATGAAATGGTTGCTCCGGAGAACACTGTCCGCTCACAATAAGTTACTGATCAGTCTAGCAGCCTCTCGCTTCTTCTTGCAATCGGTGGTGATAGGTAAGAACATTTATGTTTTCCTGAATCCCACAGTCTTCCCATACAACTTAGTAATGCTGCTCATAAATTTGATGTGGGACTTCCTGACTGCTGCAACCATTTGGTTCTGCTCCTTGCTAGGTTTCTTCTATTGTGTGAAAATCGCGACTTTAACCTACCCTGTCTTTGTCTGGCTGAAGTACAGGGTGCCCGGGTGGGTGCCATGGATGTTGCTCAGTGCCGTGGGGATGTCGAGCTTAAGTAGCATCCTGTGTTTCGCAGGCAATTATCTGATATATAGCAGCTTTGTAAAGGGTGCCCATCAGCCTCGGAATGCCACTGGGAATAGCTTGAAGCGCTCCCTTGAGAAATTCTACTTCTTCTCTGTAAAAGTGACTATGTGGACGATCCCCGCTGTCATCTTCAGCATTTTCATGGCCTTGCTGCTCGTGTCTTTGGTGAGACACCTGAAGAAGAGCCTCTTGGCCTCCTCAGGACTTCAGGATGTTAGAGCCCAGGCCCACGCCAAAGCTCTCTTCACGCTGCTCTCCTTCATCATCCTTTTCAGCTCCTGCTTCCTGTCACTGGTACTTAGTTCTGCCAGCGATTCACCGTTTCAGGAATTCAGGTACTGGATTTGGCAGGTGGTGATCCACCTGTGCACGGTGATACACCCCCTCGTCATGCTCCTCAGCAACCCTGGGCTGAGAGTGGCCGTGAAGAGGGGCTGCTGCTGAAGACACGGGGCAACCCCAGGGGCAGGGGATGCCAATGCTTGGACAGTGTGGCGGACGGCCCGGAGCAACAGACACAGGACACATACGTTGGTCCTTATTCCCAGCGTGCCACATACACTGACAGATGATTCACCTCAGTGCAATAAGATCCCAGGTGGGCTCCAAGGTCCTGAAAATGAGCAGCCCCACCATGTTGTCTGTGGGACTTGACCGAGGACAACTTGACATTCACTGCGATACGCCACATGATAATTCCCGTACTGAGCCAGACTGGCGAAGGTGCTTATAACTTTTCTTCCCTCTCTGGAGGCATCGTGTGAAACGCTCTAACCCTTTCCACCACTTCTCAGCAGTTTAGCCATTTGCCACAGAGATTTCTTCCCCTCACCAGAGGCAAAACTAAGACAGGCCTGATCTGCGTTCTCCAGACAGACCGTGGCATACTTTGTGCTTGGGCAGAGCAGCGTGTGCCACCCTGAATGTTTATATTTTCAGACGACTTCCGAGACTCCTCTGAAGGTCCAGGGTTTGGGATGCATTTATTAGTGAAGTCCTCTGCAATGGCCTGGCTTCTGAGTCCTTTCTGTAAATTTTAAGGCTGTGGGTCAGATTTACCTTCTCCTGTGTTGATAGAGGGATGTACGGCAGCTTTTGATGTGGACAAGATCTTCTACATGGACGGAACTTAGACCAGAAGGACTATTGGTCTGGTGAGGAACTGCAGATTGCCTTCCTGCTTCCCTTAAGAAGCCTTCTTTTCTCAAGCCTTGCCTACACTCAGTTATCCCTTGAGCATTTCTCAGACAGCCTGTAGGACAGTTTCTTAATTAGTGATTGATGTGGGAGGTCCCATACTATTGTGTGGGTGGTGCCATCCCTGGGCTGGAGGTCCTGGCTTCTAGAAGAAAGCAGACTGAGCAACAAGGCAGCAAGCATCACCCTTCACGGCCTCTGCATCGGTGTGTCTGCAGACTCCTGCCCTGTTCGAGTTCCTGTCCCGGCTTCCTTCGATGATGAACAGCGATATAAACCAAATACACGCTTTCCTGTCCTAGTTGCTTTTAGAAGCAGAGTTTCATCACAGGGATAGCAACCCTAACTGAGATACTCATGTATGAAGATCTCAAGAAAGGTGAAATTGTTAAAGGAGAAAGAAGGCTCACATGGGCCCCCGTTGCTGCCGAGATGTCTGGGAAGGTCAGCTGGGCCGTGGAGTGAGCCTGAGATGAGTCTGTGAGGTCATCAATTAGACCTCCTCCTGAAAGTGGGAAGCGATATTTTATACAACAAGGTGTATGTGAAAGGGGCTGGGAGAAGCTGGGGAGGTAGTTCCCCAGGTGAGTGTTTATTCAAAAGCATCAATTCCCTAGCCCTCCCACAAGGGCCTGGGTGTGGCCACTTGTGTGCCTGTGGTCCCAGCACAGTCAGGGGAAGAGACAAGGAAGGGGTTGCTGTGCTTGGGAGTGAGGTCCTCCTCCAGCCTCTGTGCATTCATACACACGTGAGCACACGTGAGCAGGAACACGTGCACGCACGCACTTGAGAGCACACGTCCCTATCTAGCTCCGTGGTGTATGTAATATAAAATTGTCAGCTGGTGAACTTAAGCAACAGCTTATCAATGTTTGAAGGTATTAATAAATACTGTCTTAGAGAAAATTTCTCTCACGTATATGTTTGCCTTAAAAAGGATTTATTTATTTTTATTTTGTGTGTTATGAGGGTTTTGCCTGAATGTATGTCTTTGCACCACGTGAGTATGTATGTTGCCTCTGGAGGCCAGAAGAAGGTGTCAGATCTTTTGAGAACTGGAGTTATAAACAATTTATGAGCTGCCATGTGGGTTCTGGGAATCAAACCTGGGTCCTCTGCGAGAGCAGCCAGTGCTCTTAACCAATGAGCCATCTCTCCAGCGCCTACATACTTTTTAAGGTAGGGGTCTCATGTGGCTCAGCCGGGCGGAACTGTTATGGAGTTGAGGATAACCTTCTGTCTTTACTTCCAAGTGCTGAATGTTTCTATACTGGGAGCTGGATAGTTATTAGAGACATTGTTTGAGAAAAGTGGTACACAATACATGGCTTTTGGATTGTTTTCAGTATGTGTGTTAATAATTACGCATGAATCGTCAGCGTATCTTAACAAAACCAATAAAATGTCAGTCGTGAAAGAACTAGCCTCAGGCATTGTATTATTGCAACGCTGCTGGACTAAGATGCCTACCGTTACCACACTAATCTCCACAAGGCACAGCTCTGATCTGTTTCAAGAGTACCTGAGCATGTCTTGCTGTCTGTCAGACAAATCCCAGGCCTCTGCTGCTACAGTCTGGTAACCGCTTCCAGGAGAGCCCTGTGTTTCAGTGTGTTTGGGCTGTCATGGAGATGGGTAACCGTGAAGCTACCTCCTGACACTTGCGAAATGTTTCCCTATCACTCGTGCCTGTCAGAATCGCATTCGACATTCTGCCTTTTTTGCCCCTTGACTTTTAAAGGTTGGCCCATATGCCCACTGACGCCTGTCTAAAGCTCCCCAAACCTCGGTCTTTCCCACTTTCCAGGACGAGTAAGTTGGCGGCCTCCAGTGCCGTCCCTCCACCTCGTGGTACCTCTGTTGGTACGCCGTGTACTTCCTAGGAGATATTAACTCTTAAAGGAACTGGTGATTCATGCTCTCCCACGTGTCCCCCGAAGTGTGCATACTGGGAATCGAACCCAGGTCCCCTTCAAGAGCAAGGAGTGCTCTAAACCACAGAGCCATCACTCCAGCCCTTACGTGCCTGGCTTTTAAATAGCACAGCTAAATGGAAATTGCAACCTAGGTTTATTGACGTTATATGGCTAGTAAGGAGTATAATGGGATTATTGAGTGCAATCGTACTTAAAACAACGTGGGCTAGGGACGTGACTCAGAGCTAGAGTGCTTGCTTGCCAAGAACAAGGCCTTCAGCTCATTTTTTCAGCACTGGAAAAACAAAACAAAAGATAAAGCAGGGTGGTGTAGGAATGACCATCACCACCAGTCAGTACAGACGTGAAAAATCATGTATGATGGGCAAAGCACTGAGCCATGGGGGAAAAGGACTGTTTAGCACTGTACCAGCACGTTAGCTTTCCTACCTGGAAGAAGAAAAAAAAAATGAGGTCATTTCATTATGATTTCCAAGTAGATGATACTTAATATGTCACCTATATTTTTTAAAGCTGTCTATTTCTTACAAATGGTTTGATTTACTACCTTCGTTTTATTCTGTAAAATACTATCTCTAAATTTGAAGGAGCCGAATATGGCTTGCAATCCTGGTAGTCAGGAGGCCGAGGCAGCAGGATTGCTATTAGCTATTACTAGGCTACAGAGTGAGTTCCAGACCAGCCTGGGCTAGAGTGAGAGACTGCTTGAAAATAACAAACTAAAATTAATTAATTAATTCACAAAGAAATCAATAATTTAAGGAAAGGTTTCTATACATTCCTTAACTCTTTGATGTTATTATAAGGTCTGCACATATCCTTCAATTTCCTTAAACAGAGAAACCCTGCTTTCTTAAGCCAAAGACTAGTTCTGAAAATAATTTCAGGACAGTCGTCGCTACAGCTTACTATATTAATAAATCCTAAGAAAATTTGTGTGATCCAACTTGACACAAACTAAAGCCACCTGATGGTGGAGCCTCGGTTGAGAAGGTGCCTTCATAAGATCAGGTGTAGGCAAGCCTGTAAGGCCTTTTCTTAATTAATTGGTGACCCACGGGGAAGTGCCCAGCCCTTCGTGGGTGGGACCACTTCTGCGCTGGTGGTCTTGGGTTCTATAAGAAAGCAGGTTGCACAAACCACATTAAGCAGCTGTTTTCTGTGGTCTCTGCATCAGCTCCTGCTTCCAGGTTCACGCCCTGTTTGAGTTCCTGTCCTGACATCTTTTAGTGATGGACTAAGATGTAGAAATGTAAGCCAAAGAAACCCTTTCTGCCCCAACTTTTCCTTCCTTCCTTCCTTCCTTCCCTCCTTCCTCCTTCCCTCCCTCCCTCCCTCCCCCCTTCCTCCCCCCCTTCCTTCCTTCCTTCTATGTAATGGTGTTTTATCTGTCTCTAACTAGGACAGAAATTGGTACCAGGACAGTGGGGCATTACTGTGACAGACCTGACCATGTTGCTTTTGGGAGCACTGTGGAAGGACTCTGGAACTTAGGGCTGGAAAAGGCGGTGAGTGTTGAGTGCTCAGTGGGATATTCTGTAGGGACTTGGAAGATGATGCTGAGATCAGTCCCGATGATAGGGGTCTCATGGCTCCTAAGTTTCAGAGGGAAGCAAGGACTTTACTGGGCCATTTGTGTGAAGAATCCGTGGTGTCTGGTCGGGGATGGGGGTGGGGTGGGGGAGCTGGGAATCAGCTGGGATTAGCAAGAGACCAGAACCACTAAAGTAAAACTGCTTTTCTGGGACAAAGGATGCTGGTCAGCTGGGGCTGAGAATCCGCTGGGAGTAAGGAGAGACCTGCATCACTGAGAGCCATCTCTCTAGCCCAGAGACTTTGGATTTTAAAAGTGACTGGATATTTTAAATAGACTGAATATATATATTTTTTTCTGAGGCCTGTTTCTCTGTGTAGCCTGGCTCTGTAGACCAGCCTAGCCTCTGGCTCCTGAGTGCTGGGATTAAAGTGTGCACCACCGACCGCCACCTGGCAAGAAACTGAATTTTTAAGTTTTTGAATTTGTTAAGACTATGGAACCTTTTACACTTAGAATGTTTAGAATGTAACGCTGATATTAATGGGTGATCTTGGGGATGAATAAGAAATGAAAGGTTGTGTGTGGTTTAACAGAAAAATAAAAATGAAACTTTGTGTGATCATCTCTAAATATTCTGGAAGACCACTGAGAAAGTTTTAATACTAAAATTTTTGATAAACACTCACATACATTTAGTAATGTGACATTTTTATATTATTTGAAAGCTTGCGGCATATTTATTGATTAACAATGTTAATAGCCATGGCTACCAC